GATCATTTTAGAAATCTTGTATCATAACCTAAGTACTTAATAACCAGAAATGAATGCTCTTTTTCACGAGAAAACATATTAACCAAACTGTTGGAATATAGCATAAGTTACTCCATTTTGATAACCTTCAGCAAGCTTAATAGTGCTTACGTGTTAGGTTGCAATTAGCAGCTGAACACACGTAAGAACAGAGAACAAATAGACAAGTCAAAAGAACTGTCTATGCAAGCTACTATATTATCGCTTCCTGATAAGACCTTCCAATGTGAACCACAATGGCAACTTTTACTGTGAACCGTTAGCAGAATATGCCATGTATTAGATAGATACATTTTGTAAAAAACCTTGGCTGTCTCTAACCTCCTAAACTCCCTTGTTTGTAACCCTCACCCCCCTGCAAAAGCCTTCTGCCTGCAATTTGCTTTGATGTATGCTAATAAAGGAGAGCCTGGGAGGGAGAGACTCCACTTTTGCTTCTTTGGATTTCTTCTCTCTCGACTCTCATCCGAGGCAGCCTTGTGTCTGTCTTTTTCTTTACCATGAGAGTCCGTTACAACTCATGAATCAGCCCCCGGACGAGGTCAGAAACCAAGCCGGGAGACTCAGGTCCCGGTTTTTCTACACCAAACCAGGTATTAGAAAGTTATTTTTCTTCTAGGCAGGCAAATATTTAGGCAAAAAGAAGGAAGCAACCGTATTTATATTACAAGGCTGCGAATTAGTGCAAATAAAAGAGAAAAGATTACAAAAGTTATTAAATAAAAGATGAATGTGTTTAGGTGGACCAAACTATATATTTGAAAACCAGTTTAATGTTAGAAACTGAACAAGACCCCTCAGGATTTTTTGTTACATCGAGTACAAACGTCAGAAAGCCACATTTTACAGTAGAAGGCATTATCATATCACAGTTTGAATATACTTATGGTGTCTCCAGTACTTTCCCGCCTGTTGCCAAGTGCCCTATAATCATGTGATTAATATTTGCGACTTCTCTGCAGACTTTTCCAAAAGTCAATGAAGAAGCCTGCAAAGAAGGACTGGTTTCTGGGGCCTGACTGAAAAAGGTCCACTCCAAAATCCAAACTAACTTTTTTCAGCCGGCCTATTGAACCCTGGGGTACTCAGCATGCTTCTCTTTTGCTCTCAAAGAGACTGGCTGAAAAAGTCCCCCCTCAAAAGGTGTTTCTAGGGGGCGACTCCTGGAATAGGCTGGCTAAATGAACTTTGGATTCCAAGGATCTGAGCCTTCTTCAGCCTGCATTTTATCCTCTGAAGAGGAAAAGGAGAACTGTCGTGCTGCAAAGGACCATAAGCTGCAACCACCTCCAGCTGCAAAGCTCAAGAACATTCCAGAGTGTTCTGTGTTTGTTCTTTTCCAGCTGGAATAATCTGGATGCAGAAATGACCACTGAACAGCCAGTGGGAAAAGGACATCCGAAGGAGACTTACCATCGCTATTCCTACGCAAGAGATCTGCAAGTTCTTGACATCTTGAAAGGCAAATCCAAGATGCCACCTTAAGTTCGGCCCCTTTGTATCTTTAAATATAGTCCCCGCTGGAAGAGGATAATGTACATACACACAACCACAAAGACACAAAGAAAGGAGTAGAAATGGATACTAGGGGAAAGCAGGTGAAGAAAGGCTGGTATTTCTGCATCAAAATGGGACTGACTAGGTGAACCTTTTAAAGACCGAGTGCCCAAACTGCAACCCAAAACCCACTTATGTATTGTCGGGTGCCAAGTGGGTGTGGCCAATTGGATGGGCGTGGCCCATTGGGTGGGCATGGCTGCAGTGGTAATGGAAGACTGGGTGGGACTAAAAAGTTCAATCAATCAATTCCAACTTTATGAGATCTCCCCCCCCCCCCGCAAGAAATTAATTGATTGAACCTTTTTCTTTTTTGCATACGGCAGCGGAGGCCTAAAGTGAAAAGGTTTTATAAAACCCAGATGAAGGTCTAGGAGTGGGGCGATGGCGATGGCCAGAGTTGAGTTATGTTTGGAAGTAAGCGGTTCTTCTTCCCCATTTACAAACTACCAGTAATACTTGACCAGAAAAAGAAAAGTCTCCTATAACAAATGCTTAAATTTGGGGGTGGGGGCGTTTAAGA